GCCCGACTGCCCTGGAACCTCAGCCCTGTGGCGCCCACCGCTGCCCTCGGTTTCTCGGGAGCAGACTGCTGTCACGGCCGCACCCCCCTCCGCCTGGGCCTCTGCACCCACCGCTCATGGTGATGTGCACTTGGGCTGCGATGGGCCCGGGTGAGATCCCAGCACGCATGGCGGCCCTGGAGGACAGACTCGAGGGACGGGGAGCCAAACCAAGCACGGCTGCGAGGACTCGCTGGCTGCAGGCTACAGGGACCAGAGGGCAAGGGGAGCACAGGCGCACCCTTGTGTGATGTGCGGCCCCTGGGACTCGCGTGGATGCCCACAGCGCGGGGCTTGGTCTCAGGTTGATGGCAAAGGTGTAATCGAGGAATAGGGAAGGAAGAGCTCAATCCGGCTACAGGAGCAAAGCATCATCATGGATTATTTCAGCTGGGCTTATGTGGATGCATAGGAGCTTGACTGGTAGGTAGAATGGAGGAACAAGGCCACCCCTGTGCCCTGCGGCTTGGAGGGGACTAACGGAGGCTGGAGGGCAGCAGGGCAGGGGCAGCCTGTGGTCGTGCGCCGGACCTACATCCTCGGATAAGGCTGCAGCTTCCAGGATTAGGGCTGGGAAATGGTGAAGCCCCCACCCAGGGAGCCTGAGATGCCTCCATGCCTGGCAGGGCTGAGTCCCGAAGGTGAGCTCTGTCACCAGGTCTCTGTCCTCAGGGGCCACGAGCTGGGTGCAGCACAGCTGCTTGGAGACAGAGCTTTGCTAGGGATTCAGATGCCCAGGCTGGGCTCGAACGTACGACCCTCCTGCCTCACCCTCCAGAGTGCGGGGATTCCAGTGTGCCACCGTGGCAGGCTGCCAGGGAATTCTGCGGTGTATTAAGAGGCTTTGCCCGGCGATGCCCTCATCTGCTAAGGAAGCCGTGCAGTGACAGATCACGGGGCTCTGCGCAGGCTGCCGAGGGGCCGCCACGGCGCGGCAGAGCCCAGGGAGCCCTGGCCCTGGCTGCGTCCTGCTACCCCTCTCTGACAGCCCCATCGCACCCTCACTGCCTGCTGGCTGCGCAATCCTGCTGCAATTTCCGACTTCACAATCTGAAAATCGGAAGGCGGAGGGTGGGGGCGGCGAGTGGGAGAGAAGCAGGAGACGGACAGGCGGACAGACAGACACGTCTCATTCCATACACCGGCTGCTGCTCGCTGGAGACAGTTGCTGCCCTGGCTTGGGGACACGCCACTACACACAAAGGTCTGCGGACACTGCCACAGGCACATGGAGACAATGGAAGGCAGAAAGAGGCTCCAGGAAGGAGGCCAGGCGTCTGTAAAGAAGGACGGAGCTCAGATCAGGCGTTTGTGCTTTGGCTTTCTGCTTCTGTTATTTCTCTTTATTTTTCTGATGGTTGCTAGGAAACCGGAAAGCACAAGCTCCCTCCAGGGGCGTAGACGCCACCTGGTGGCTACACCGAGTACCTGCAGGAGTCTGGCCCCTCTGACCAATGACCCTGCCTCTCAAATTCTCCAAACTGGCCAAGAACTAAGCAAATTCCCTTCTTCGAAGGAAAAAATGTTGCTCAGGATACTTCTGCGGAGTTTCTTTGTTCTCATGTGGAACTGGGGATCGCTCATGCTGGGCAACTCCTCTCCCGGCCTGCCGGGGTCCTGGGGTGCACCCCAAAGTGCCTCCACCAGGCAAACAGTGCACGCTGGAGCTGGCTAACTCCAGAATGACCAGTTTGGGTGGCTGTTCCTTACTTTATTTTTTGTGGTGCCTGGGCTGGAACCCAGGGCCTTGTGCTGCTAGCCAAGTTATTACTCCCATTCCAAGCAGTTTTTCTTCTAAGATACAAAAGTTAAGGCAAGTCCTTTAAAGCATAAAACTCTACTGGCTACGTTCAATATTTCTAAAGATAAATAAAACTGCAGCCCTCAGGCTCCACATTTAGCTTGGCTGCGTTCTGCACGAACTCCGGGGCCCCGGCAGCTCAGCCCACTGTGTGCTTCAGTTTGATTCTGAGTGTGCCACAGGCAGGCGCTTAACGGGCGTCCACCCGGGCCCTGCGACGCCAACCCCAGGGGCTGCCGGGACGCGCTCACGACAGAGCGACCGCTCCCTCTCCCTCGCCTGCTTGTCCAGGCAGCTGCCATGGTCCCCTTCCAGAGGCTCCAGAATCCACGCATTGTTTGTTTCACCCTAGACTGTAAATTCCTCCAGGGTCTGTGGTTTACCCTGGGCTCTACATTATTCTATTTAGTCCTCATGACTTTACCACAGAGAAATTTGTAATGTTTTGGGGTGATATTATTGGGGATCAAACCAGGGACCTTCACACTGACCTATAGCCCAGACCCCCTCATCTTTTATTGAGAGAGGCTTTCATTGCCCAGGCTGGGCTTGAATTTATGATCCTCCTGCCTCAGCCTCCCAGAACGCTGGGATTATAGGCACACGCCACCTACCACAAGCAGCTTCTTAATCTTACTTTTTAAGTATCAGGACACTGAAGTCCAAGTAACTCACAAAGGCCTCCAGAGCTTGCTAAAAAACCCAAACCAGAAGGCAGAGGAGCTGGCATGCCCTGGGTCGGGCTTGAGCCTGTCTCCTGAGCTCCTTCCTGTGCCGCCCTGCCTGGCGGAGATGACGGAGTGCATGGTGGTCCCCACCCGAGGATGGGGCAGCAGCTTTCCGTGTGGCGTGGGCGTGTGTGGCTTACTCTCTGGGCAGTGACGCCGGCCCCACAGGCCGGGAGGGGACACAGGCAGGCAGCTCCACACCTGGTGCAGAACAGCAGTGGCTCCCGCTCCCTTCGGGGTCTGTCTGCATGGAAGCTACTCGTCTTTTCTTGGGTTTAACAGGAACCCAGTTACTGTGGAAAACGAATCCCAGCCCCGAACCCACGCCTTCGCTTCGGATTCTGCCCGATCCTCTCCTTTCTGCCTCACTTCACCTGTGTTGTATGAAGACCTCAGGACGGGCGCTCGGATGTGGGGAACCCTGTCTGGGGCCGCGGCAGCAGGCAGAGAGGTGTCCGCCCTTCTCCGAACGTCGGATGACTGCTGCTGGACCACAGGAGCCCCGGCCTGTTTTATCATTCAGGGGAGAAGCACGGCTCTCCTGGCAGGCAGCGGGAGTTCATGCAGGTTCAAAGAATGTTCTCAGGGAGGAAAGCCAGGAAGTCAAGAAACTGAAAAATCCAGATTCTGTTTGGGCTCTCCATAGAATATAAACGCGAGGCTGCCGAGCCGGGGGAACAAGGTCGCCCCCAGCGAGCAGAGTCCCCAAGACCACATGCCTGCGTCCAGTTTTCCAAAAGAAAGCCGAACCTGGCAGTGGGGAGAAGGCTGGGCGTGGGGACCGGAGCGGAAGAGGTCTGAGGACAGTACTACGCATGGGAAACAAGACCAGGTCTGGGAGGAAAACCGATTTCTGGAACCAGATTGCTAGTTTAAAAGCACAAGGTCTGTGGGGCAGAGGCGGTGCTCATGGCCAGGACACATCTGCAGTGCTGTGACCCCGAGTAGGCGAGGACCCAGGGTCGGCTGTCAGCGGCTGGCTCGGGTCCTTCCTGGGTGTCTTCGGTGCGTATGCTCTCGTTGGTTCCCAAAAGTACGCAGCCGTGGAAGGGCCCCCTAAAATGGGGGGTCCAATCCAGGGGTGCCATGACCTTGAGCTCCACCCCTAGCTGCTTGGTTTTGAGAGAGTGCCTCGCTAAGTTGCACTGAGAAGCCTCCTGCCTCAGCCTCCCAGTGCCAATGCACCAGCTGGAAAGCTCTGATGCTCACAAAGGGTGGCAGGACCTAAGAGGATGCTGCCTCACTGGGGACAAGAGGGGGTGGGTGGGAGCCACATCAACCTCCAAGAAGACCGCGAGCCACCTGCACAGCGCCTGCTCAGGCCTGGGTGCTGGACACAGCCTGCACCCAGTGGGAAGCCGTGGTTAACGGAAGCCTGAGGCAGAGAGGGCGGCCGGCCCTCGTCCACCCACTGGGCAGCGGCCATCTTACCGTGGTCACTCTCTGTCCCCGACCGGCCCCAGTAGCGCCGCCTCCTCTCGGGGCTGTGTGCGTGGCGCTCCATGACGGCGGCGATGAAGCGCGTGTTGCTGACTGCGGGACCAAGGACAGCAGGTCACCCTCAGCGGCCGCCCGTCCCCACCCCGCTGCCAGGCCTGCCTGAGCTGTGTCCCCAGGCGAAGGGGCGGGCGTTGGCCCAACTTCTGCCTCGGAACGCGGTGTTGGGAAGGGAGAGGCGCAGGAGGAAGAAGGGCCGAAGCACTTTTGTGCAAAATAAAAACCGAGTCTGAGAAATTAGATTCATTCATAGGAAAATGGACACATGTTGAGGATGGACTCCTACGTGAAACGGTAAGTCACACGTGTGTAAACAGCGAATAGTTTCTCTGCTGTGAACAAACTGGAGTCGTACATGAGGTCCTAATGAGATGACTGACAGCGTGAAATGGGAAGAAAAGGCCTAAAGGTGCAGGGCAGGTGGGACGGGCAGGGGAGGGAATGAAGGAAAGGAAAACAACAGGAGAAAATGGAAAAGAAACTGAATCTGCGAAATCCGTGATTTCCGACAAAAGGCAGAGACCTGCACTGCTCCTGGGGAAGGCGGGGAAACAGCCCCGTGCAGAGGCGCCTTACATTTCAGCAGGGCCAGAAGGCCGGGGACGCAGCCCTCCCGGCGCAGCCCCGCCTCCGCAGCGGCCACTTACTGATGCCGCGGCCCTCGTGGCTGTCGTCGTCCCTGTCGTCCCTGTCGTCCCTGTCGGTCTCCAGGTTGGACATGCGCACTGACATTTCTGCACCGGCAGAGAGAAGCGGGTCTGTGTGATCGCACAGACCGTCCGCCCTCGCCCTGCTGGGGCTGTGGGACTCCCGGGGAAGCGAGGCGGGCAGTCAACCTGCGCCCAACCGGACCGAAAGCAGGTGACGCCCAGCTGGCGCCCCTCCCGTTACGAAAGTGCACCTGAGGCTGATCGCCGAGGTGGGGGGCGGGTGGACGGCAGAGGGGGATGGAAAACACACACGGGCAGGGGCGCCCTGACGGTTGTCCCCAGTCTACCCAGGGTGTGGGCTGTCGCCTTCCCAGCCCTCGGCCGGGCGGGGCTGCAGCCTGGACCTCACTCCCGGAGGTCGCCACTGAGCACAGACGGCCCCCCCGGGGTCGGGAGCACCCAGGACGCACTCTGTTCTTGGCTCCAGCCTGTCGCACGCACACACACATGCAGGACAGGAGTGTGGCCCTGGCAGGGAAGATTGGGTCACCTTGGTCTAGCTTTTGGATGGTGAGGGCAGAGCACGGAGCACAAGGGTTCTACTCAGTGCCTGGCTCTGGCTGGCACAGGATAGGGCCCTGGGTGGGGAGACGCTGGCCAAAGAGAGGGACCCAGGAAGGGGATGCGGGGTTTACACAGTAACACAGGCTGTGGGGCCTCCCAGGGTGACGCCGGTGAAGCTGAGGAGGGGGCCTGCTTTGATCTTTCTTTTTTTCATTTCTTGTTTTCTGAGACAAGGTCTTGATATGTAGTTCAGGCTGGCAGATCCTCCTGCTTCAGCCTCCTGAGTGCTGGGATTACAGCGTGCACCACCCTGACCAGTTACTCGCATTTCTCAGAGGTTTCAAGGACTGGCTGGTGTCCTTGCCTGGGGAAAACCTGGGGGAGGAGGTCAGGGTGAGGGCCCGCTCTGCACGCACCTTGGGCCGCCAGAGGCGACATGTGCTGGTGGCTGCGGCGGTGGATCTGGTGACGGTAGGCGTACACGGCCAGGACCAGCACCATGATGCAGCCCATGATGCCTCCAGCCACGGGCCCCACAGGCGCGCTTTTGACCATGTTCAGCGTGATCACCTCGTCACCTTGAGGGACAGAAAGACGCCCGTTAGGGTTGTGGGTGGACTGTGAGGCCCTCAGAGAGGAGCCTGCAGGCCGCACTGAGGGCTTCCTCAAGCCAGAGCCACGGCAGAGGAGCCAACCCCAGCTGCATAGCCAGGCCGGTGTCCACCAGGTTAGCAGCCACCGGAGCCGGCGGCCAGCGCCTGCCTGCCGAGGTGGGGCCTGGGCACCTGACCCACCAAGCTGCAGTCCCACAGCCGCAGCTCCGGCATCTGCCCCCGACCGAGGCCCAGGGTCCGCCCAGGAAGTGGTGAGGGGAGCTCAGGGGGCAGCGGCCGCGGGGAAAGGGTGGCACCGGTCATGGTCACCTGCAGTCGCCAGCCCTGTGCCTGTGCTCAGACCTAGCATGGTGGGCACGGACCCAGCGGAGGGACGGCAGCAGCTGCCCCGTGGGTCCAGCCACCCTGGAGTGGGTGGCGAGGATTCACATACCCACCGCGCCCGCGTCGTCCACGTAGGGGCTCCTGGCGCCCACGACACCCCCGAAGCACTCCCTCTGCGGTGCGCAGTATGGCTTGTCCAGGTGGGTCTTGCTGTCACTGTCCACCACACACCACTCGCAGTCCAGCACCCCGAAACAGTCCCTGTTGGGGAGAATGCAGGGTCCTAGGCACAGGCTCTGGCCCCAGTGCAGCGCTGGTCAAAGCAGCCCGAACCCCTGGGGGAAACAGCCTGAGGCCTGCAGATCTGGGCCAACGTCCCACACGTGTGGTGTCACTGTGAAAAAGGACGGAGACGTGGCCAGGCCACCTGGGCAAGGCGAGGGCACCGAGGACAGACGCCCGAGCTGCCGGCTTCTCAGTGTGTTTGTATGTCCTGTGCCGGGCCTGAGGTCTGCTCTTCCCTCCGCTGAAGAACACACCGCAGGCCTGTAATCCAGCACTTAGGAGGCTGAGGCAGGACGACCACAGTGAATTTACGGCCAGCCTAAATCACACAGTGAACCCTCTCTCAAATGATGACATCACTGGGCCAGGGATGTAGCTCGGTGGTGCTGCACCTGCCTCACAAGCACAAGATCCTGAGTTCAATCCCCGTACCACCCTCCCCAAATGACACCACCACCACACCAGGAGACCTGTCGTCTCCTCTGGGCCTATATTCCACTTCACCGAGGGGCTGTGCAAACCCAATGCAGACCTGAAAGGCCACGCAGCCTTGGGAGGAGGAGCTATGAGAGGCAGGGCGGTGCAGCGGCCCCACCACTTACCCGCTCTCCAGCCTCTGGCTGCACCTGCTGTTGACACACTGGTGCAGGGCGTCCTGCAGGCCGGGGTCGATGGCCGTGTAAGTCAGCGGCTCCTGGTGGACCTCGCAGCTGGGGTTCCTGTGCAGGGCGGGGTCCCAGGTCAGGGCCGGCACCTACACAGGCTCAACAGAGCCTGTGCCAGTGACCCACCTCCTCGAAACTCGTTCACACAGTGGGCCTGAGTTACAACCGGCCTGACATACGAACAACATGGGTTATGACTGGAACTTCAGTGTCTCTCTAGGACACTGAGATTGGCTCGTGTGCAGGAGAGACTCTGAAGGCCTTGTAGCAGAGCCTGGGCCTCCACTGACCAACTTGAGTTACAACGAGCCCTCGGGTACAGGCTGAGTTCGGAAGTCAAGGGTCCGCTGTGTTTATGTAACATCCGTGTGAGAATGTATTCACATTTAACACCACAGAGCACACAACTGCCTACCACCTCCCTGCTCAACCTCACCAACGTCTTTGGGGAGCTGCTATGGACAGTGAAATGTGGGTCCTTTCACACTTTCTCTCTGCCAAAACACACATGCGCCATGTTTGTACACAGCACTATTCCCAGCAAGTTCTAGGAAAGGGATGTGCCGCAATCTGTTTTACGGCTCTAAATATAAACAAATGCCAGGTTCCCGCGTGACTATCACAAAACGAAGGGAAAGGACAAGTGGCAGCTGCTCTCTGAGCACCTGTAATATTCTCACTTGCGTGGTGTGCGACACGCCTGTCACACTTCTATAGCCTTTCCATCGACACCTCACGGCCCACTGCTCTGGACCGGCCACCGCAAGGTCTGTCCTGTCACAACCCACAGCGCATCTACAGCAGGGCGCAGGCGGTCTGGCATGTGCGTGTGCACAGGTGCTTGGGGACCGTGTCCTCACACGCACGCGATATCACACGTGAGCCTGCGTGTTTACCGGTTCTCTGCGTTGGTGAGGCTGCCGGTGCACTCATTGACCTCTAGGGGGCACTCGCACGGACATTCACATTCGTTTTGTTCCATCCTGAAAGCAAGCGACAGTTTAGGCAAAGGGTTAACGACTACTGTGCATGCGTCGGGGAAGGAAAATGAAGAAGCCCCTGCAGATACAAAGGGCAGTCAAAATAAGAGGGCATGAGCAAGGAGTGAAGGGCACGCGGGCTCCGCCCCTCCCGGGGGACAGCAGGACGCAGCCGACAACCGGCTTTGGGCTGCCCCCCACGCCCCACCCCGGCCTTC